TAAGTCAGAAATAAGTGTATTTAGAAAATATTTCGGACATACACCAAGCGACTATGTGAATGTTGACATTCACCGGTGAAAGTCGACATTCTCCAGATTTTGGTGTTTCACAGTAACATATACATACAAACGGCAGTAGCGACGAAGAGAAATTTAGCTTCCAGTGATCAAACTGCAGAAATTCATGATACTAGCTCAGATAAGATAAAAACATGCTTCCGTAGCGTTTAGATGGTGTTTCGCACAGATTCAATTGGGAGCATTAAATACTAATTTTGTTGCATTTTAATGAATTAATTTTTGTATATGAAATTTATAGCCATATTCATATATGCAGTCTTACTAATGTGCATCATAATGTCTCTTAAGTGCCGTTTCAATAAAAGTCAGCAATTATGCCCTATAACAATTTTTTAGTTTGATTTGAGATACAGTTTTTTAAATTTTATGTTCTAATTCGTAAGTCAGCAATGTATAGCATAAGATTTTATAAAATTTATTCATCTTTGAATAAACAGAAGAATGAGTAAAATTTAACCGATGTGACCCTCGCAAAATTTCATTTAATCTTCTCAAATTCTTGATTCTTATCGTTAGACGGTTCTTCAGTCTGTCCGAATTTTCATTTCTCTCTTGCCTCAGAAATCAACGATTGGCACTGTTATTCATTCTCAGTCATTGGCATTTTCTCGAATAACACTAATTCATCATAATTCATAGTAGCTATCGATAATCCATATTAATAAACGCGAATTATCCTCGTTTCGTCCAGTAGGGAATATGGGATTCTAAACAACCGTCGCTGAAATTTATTGAAAGCCTAAGAGTAATAAACATCGGAAACAGTCAAGTTACGCTTCATAAAACGTTCTAGATCTTCGCGATGCTCATAAACGTGTGGTTGACAGATTTTTCATGTTTTCAGATATTTATCTAAATATGCTATATAATTAATTATTAGACTAAACTCATGTTTTCTTGTAATGCACACGCTTATTATATACGTATGGATATTTAGTAGATCTATGTGAACACACAGAAACATGAAATCAAAATAATACCTGATTACTTTTTTAAAATATTTATTTTCGTGTAATAATTTTATTGCTTTGAGCAGAGTTACGGCTTGCTTAAAATAAGCTCTTAACTAAACGGATATTATGATTGACAAGCATTTCCGACAAAACAGTTTTCGATATGTACTTAGACATTCAACTACGGCTGTTATTTAAGCAGGAAACCATAGAATGAGCAGCTGATCCACGTGAAAGACTCGCAGCTTTTTCTGCTCATTTAGCGTGTTTTATAAAAAAAAGTTTCTTTGAATACAAAATTTGGATATGGTGGTGATACAAATGTTATAGAGAAATGTTATAACGGTTTTTTGATATTGTAATTTTTTTAATTAAAACACTGTTGCAATTTTACAAAGATTAATGTAATGTTGATGAGCAGAGCTAATAGCGAATGCTTTTGGCATAAGTTCTGAGAAGATTCTATAATTTTGAGAAAGTAGTTTTCAAATTCTGAGAAAATTAATCAGTTTAGAAAAAGTATTTAAAATAATCAAATAGCGCTTAAATAAAAATGAAGCTAATAAAATAAAAATGAAAATAATAAAATAATATTACAATAGTAAAATTATTATTATTAGGATTACAAGACATTTTTCTGACTGCTACTGTTATAATATACATTAATAACATTAATAGCTAAAAATTATAAATACAAATGTGAACTATATTGCTTTGAGACTGCTGTTTATAAATACGCCAGTTCATCGGTTCTCAAACAATGGTACATGTACCCCTGGTGGTACATTACAATATTTTCAGTGGTACAATGTTTACGGGAAAAAAATGAATTTTCAAAATTAATGTAAAATTTCGCCTTTTTTAACATTTTGTTTCAAATTTTTTATTCAGAAACTCATATATTTTTCAAGTTTTCTACTTTTACGGCTCTAGCTTTAATGCTGAAACGAAGACTTTTCCAAGAACTTCGAACAATTTCCCGGCGTTACGATTTCTAAGAACTGGAGTGCCACTACAGTATACTCGTAGCATACATATTTATCTTTTATTGTAAAAGTTTCGTTTGCGAATATAATTAAATAATGTAAATTTAAAGGGCTTTATTCTTTTATTAAGTTCCGTCCACTTAGGATGCATTGATTTTTAATGGCGAAATGCTTTTATGGTCGTTCATATATTTTTGTTTCATATTTATGCGGTACAAAGTTTGAAAAGTTTGACAACTCTTGCTCTTGTTTCTTCTGGCTCCTGAGAAATCTGCTGAAACCATTTACGAGCGTTGTTTGCTTGTATAAGGGCCGAAAATGTAGATCTTGGTCATTTGACACTGAAACAAATAGTGATCTAATGTACCTGGTAAGCCATAAATGCAGTTGTCTGTGCTATGTAGACCAAAACGACATATGTAGGTGGGGCTATAAAAGGTCCGTTGAATAATTTAGATTTATTTTATGGAACTGCTCATTCGAATCAACGCTGAGGAAACTGAAAACAAATGTAAAACAATTGAAGATAATTAGGTGATGTCTGATGTAAAAGCCTTAATTATTATATCACTGTAATTGCGAGTTCAAGATTTAAAATAATTTTACTCATAAACTAAAATTGATTTAATAGTAAGATACTAGTAGATATTTCACAAAACAATACAAAATTATACCAAATTGTTTAAGTATTAAATTGTATCTTTTATTTCCTTCATATTTTGCATTTTGTTATTAATAAATGATGGTGCAAGGTAATATTTGATTGTTTGAAATTAGTATATTTCTTTAGTAATCAAATATGTGTGAATTCAATTCGAAGAGGAACCAGCCAATACAAGACGGAAATAAACTTAGGGAAAAAAAGCGTTGAATAGATTGAAACACACTATATTGCTCCTGCTGAAGAGGAATTATGTCAAATCGCTCTCCAAATAATTTTATTAAAAGCCTATATCAGTTTAGGGGTGCATTCTCGCCCACTCGTAATTTTCCACGTAAAATATGATATGTGACAAATCAGAAAGATATGATAGATGTCTGTTACATAGCCATAAGAATTCAACTGGGGAAGTCAGGGCGTTATTTTTGCTTGTGAGAAATGGATGAGGTAATGGTGATTCAAGAATTAAACTTTGTGCGAATAGGTAGGAAATGTAATCACTTCCAAAAGGCGGCTCTTCTAAATAACCCAGCATCAGTTGGTTCATTATTTTTGGCATTTATTATATCGTTGTATATATATATATATTTATATAGAGACATATTTACACTTGTCCTATTATGAGGCTGACCAGCATTCGCAGAAATTATACTGCATAATGAACTGACAGCGTACATTCATTCCTCTGCGGCATCCACTTTTCTTTTTTTACATGACCTTGTACGAAGTAAAAAAGAAGTATTGTAATCGCGAAATGTTTCCGTATATCCACTCTGTTACTCGGCTCCCTGATCTCAGTTTCTTTACTGCTATATGTTTGTAAATTGTAGATTTTTTGCTTTAAAAATGATTGAATTATGTTGTTCTTATCTTCCGTTTTTTTTTTACTTTAGTAAATCTGTATGCAATACTTTTAGATTCAACAATAAAGTTGTTTAATGCCGCTCTACAATGTTTTTTGATGGCGCCATTGTTGTTTACATTTGAAACAGCAGGATATGGATTTGGTACCATCTAAGAAACATAGCTTCGCAAAACAGATACGCCTCTGCCAATTAAATCATGCTTAATCCTTCTGAATTATTTCGAGGAAATAATTTTAAGATTTATTTCGTAATTTTAATACAGATATTTGAGTTTTTTGTATTTTTCCTTGTCGCGAAGTGAAAACTGAATTAATTGAATGAGAAATACTCAATCGATGTGAAAGCTGTTTCTTTTTGTTTTGTTTGCTTAATTTCTTTTATATACATTCATTCTAGCTTTATTATAGTATTTGAATAGAACATTGGCAACGATTAGATAATTCTATTCTTTAAATGATATAAATTTTGTGCATTCTGAGTTATATATAAACGAAATATAATACTTAAGTGAATCTAGCGCCAGAGTGCCGCTATGGTAAAAAAAATTTTAGAGTGAATTTTAAAGAACGCATTTATTCTATTGCGGTTTATGCGCTGTCGCCGAAATAGCTTTAATTCAATCCAATAAGTTTAAGTGAAATGCAAGAAAAAATGCGTATAATTTAATATTCCATACAAGGAAGTCATGTGGTGTACACATCAGATTTTTTTAATAGAACTTGCAGTATTCGGAAGATTGTTAAGTATTTCAGTAACTTCTCATTCACAATAATTGAAAAATTATGATATACTAATCTTCATATAAAAAGAATATTCATAACAAGATTGTGCTTTCAAACAGTCATCTGTTTTCTTTAGTAATTTATGGATGAAGCATAATGACTTGTAATAAACTCATAAAGTTTAAATTAAGGTAATTGATTAATAGAATTTACCTAAACAGATTAAACAGATACTTAAAAAAAAACGAATGTTATTATTTTCTTATATCATCTCCTTCCACATTTTGAAGCGCAAAAACTGTTTATAAAAATTACATCTTAACGGCATGAAATATTTTTAACTTGTTCATGATCAAATAACTAACAGATTAAGATATTCCCATTTTTGCAGGTTATTCTTGGCTTTTTATTATTGTTAAAATAGATAATTTATTCATGATCTTTTTTTATTTCTTTCCGTTCTGTGTTTTACGATCATTGATTATAAAATACAGTAAAATGATTTAAAACTGAAATTCTCCACGGAATACAATTTTAAATTACCTAAAGCTTCGAAAATTGTGAATCATATTTTGGAATAATATTAAGTGAAACTAAATTTAATGTTGATTCTGTTAAATGAAGATTTTGTTCCTTATTGTGCCACATAGCTTACAAAGTACTTTGTTTTCATTTCTTTGTACCAAGAATCTCGCATAGTATAGAAGGTACTTATTTTGTTTTAATTTTAGGCCTTTTTTGTCCGCGAACGTGGGATGGATGGCAATGTTGGCAAGACACTCCGGCAGGCACCACAGCCAAGCAGCCGTGTGCAGCGCACATCTATTTTCAAACAAATCCACCATCTTGTACAAGTAGGAAAGAATTTTTATATAATTATGTGAACATGAATTTGAAATTACTGACGAGAATTTGTAATATTAGTTGTATACATGATCATTGCAGAGATGTCAGCATTTGGAATTCCAAAATAATCCAAACAATTCGAGAAGTTTTTCAGCTTGAAAGTGATAATATTTATTTTCAAAATAATTTTCATTAAATTGTTAGTATTACGTGAACAAAAGAATGTCATAAATATAGCTATCTTACAATACATCACAAATTATTTTCAAGAAATGGGTACAATACTCGTTGAAAGGTATCAATAGTTTTCTCTTAGCATTTCTTTTAGACTTCTCGGCTCTAAACCCGAAATAAGCGTTGTTATTTTACAGAAAATTGTTTTCTCTCTTCTTTCTTTTTATGTTTCCGCTCTATCTTCATCTGTGTATATCACTGTTTCCAAAAGTTGCCCTTGAGGAATTACTATTAAACGAACGTTTCTCAATATGAAACTGAAAACATCTTGTCAAAGCGGAAATATTTTCTAGGCAACGTTGCCGTTCAAACAGGAGCATGAAATTCCCTGACTTTTCCAGGTTTTCCAGGTGCGTTTTAAAAACATTCCAGTCTGTCTGCGTGGAGCGTTGGTGAGAGGTGAAGTAATTATGGTACTAGTTGAAAACGCAAAAATTTACCAATTACATACGATTTATAAGGTATTTCTTCCACCTTCTTAACGAGCCTTCGTGCTGTGGTGGTCTGCAGGCTCAGCGCGTATTTGCGAAGTCCGCTGTTCGATTCCCGGGGAAGGTGTTGCATATTTTTCATGTTGCATGCTTCCAAAAAAAATAGGTAATGTCTCTACAATGGCGACAGAACTAAAAAAGATGTTGGATGATGATTCTCCTGACCCAGGATTTGGCGATTGGGTCCCGTAAAATACCCCAGTCGCCCTTTAAAAGGGGGAATATATAAGGTATTTCTTCCACCTTCTTTGCATGCCTTCGTGGTGTGGTAGTCTGCACGCTCAGCGCGTAATTGGGAGGTCCGCCGTTCGATTCCCGGCGAAGGCGTTGCTAATTTTTCATTTCTGCTGCTTACAAAAAATACCTAATGTCTCTACAGTAGCTCCCGAGCTAAAAGGGTGGTGGATGATGATTTCTCTCTATCCAGAATTTGGCGATTGGGTCCCCTAAAAACCCCAGTCGCCCTTTAAAAGGGGGGTATATAAGGTATTTCTCCTGCCTTCTTGGCGTGCCTTCGTGGTGTGGGGGTCTGCACACTGGGCCTGTATTCCAGAGATTCGTGGTTCGATCCCCGGCGAAGGCTTTGTTAATTTTTCATCTTGCCTGCTTCCAAAAATACCTAATGTCTCTAAAAGTATATCTATATATATATATATTCCTAAAGCATTACTATTAAATATAATAGGAGTTGTTTTCTCCATTGATCAGAAGAGACTGAGATTAGATTGATCAGAAGAGATTGAGATTAGATTGATCAGAAGAGATTAAAGATTGAGCTTAGAATCTGCCCAATCTGGATTTAAAAAGGTCTTTTTTTTTTGCAGCTAAACGAAAGAAAGAGATCTATTTAATGATATATTAAAATAAATTCAGGTATTTTATATTTGCTTAGCAGCATATATAAGCAAAACATATGTGTACTAAATTTCGTGATAGTATTTCATCATACTTCTAGAATTAGTTGTTAGTATTTTAACTAATAATAAATAAATTTAGAGGAAATAAGCAATATTGAATGATATGAATAACACTAAAATAAAGTTAATTACTTAAAAATGAATTACAATAATCAACGATATTTTGGCGTATATAGTTATATTAAATGGTTAGCCTAGATGATTGATTACTATTTTTTATTTTACTGCAAAATGGAAAATAAGGCATTTATTAAGAAGAAATAAAAAAGGTTTAAAAGATTTTGAGGTAAAATTCTGGTATACGGCAACGGTCTTGGTACGATTTTGAAAATTGTCGCCAACACCAAAATTCCCCGTTTCCTGCTCATCATAATATCGCCACATCCCATGTGTACCGTACATGGAGGCTATTCTAACAACTATGGTACCGTATACTGGGATTAAACCGATTTTCTTTTGTACGAGAATGGGAAGGCTTTTTTTTTTCTTAGTTCATCATGTACTGCGCAAGAGTATGCGATTCTCTTGATTCTCGAGGTTACTGGAAACTTGCTTTGTCAAAAGACAATCTAATTGGAGTTACTGGTAGCAATATGTATCTATAATAATGTCTGTAACTCCTCAACTAGGCTTTCTGAATCCTAAAACTCGGGCCAGCTAAATCGTTTAGGATAGCGATGTAAATGCAGGATGAATGTCTTCTCAAATGTAATTGCAAGATGGATGTTTTCTCTGTGATTATAATACCTAGTTAAAGGTGCTTTCAAGAAATACATTAGATTAATTTCAATAAATATTAAATAATCTCTAGCATTTTATTAGGAATAAGGACCATCGCTAATTTTTCGAACATCTTGAGTTTCAACTAACATTAGGCACTTTCTGAAAAGTAAATTGAGAGATGCATTTAGCTTGTTGAGTCATATAATATAAAATACATAACAAAGTAACAATTCTTTACAATGTTATTAAAAAACATAATTTTTAGAAGTAAACTAAATCTACTTTTTAATATTTTTAAGGTTTATTTATTTTTTGAATTCTCTCAAACATGGAACAAATTTATAAATTGTACGCAGTATGCTGTGATTTCGTTATACTACATGTAGAACATTTTTATTGGTATTTAGAAATTTATCCTGAGTCTAAGAGTTCGTCTATTGATAAATTTTATTTTTGCTCTGAGCGAAAAAAGCATTTTACAAGGTGGTTTAAATATAACAGAGAATGATTTTTTTTTCTTTTCCAATAAAGCTTTATTGCGAATGAAAAGGTTGAACATATTACCCATCAATCTTTTTCCCATCAGAGTCAATACATTTTCGCCAACGTTCTGGAAACATTTTCATGCCATTACAATAGAAAATTTTTAGATGGCTTGGAATCCACTCCCGAACACTGACGGCAATGGCATCGTCATCTGCAAATTGCGCGCCTTTTTTTCTAATCCTGGTACTCGCTATTGACGTAGTGGACTCACGTTTAATTGCTGTCATGTGGACTTCTAAAATGCATCCTGTTCATCTTCAAACCTCCGTAGTAGCGAAATGGAAATCTCCCTGCATATCACTTTCTTTTCGTTTGTCAACATGCGTGGATCCTTACTAGAATGCAAGCGTTTATTCTCGATGGTTACCTTACAATAATGTAAACATTTATTCCTCATGGTTATCTTACCATAATGTAAACATTTATTCCCTATGGTTACCTTACCATGGTTACCTACCATACTGTAAACATTTATTCCCAATGGTTTCTACATTGTCAACACTAATTGAAAAACCGATACATGTGTTTGGATTGTGATCCACTTATTCTCAAGAGTAATCACATTCATAGGATCAATGTTAGTCTAGATGACGGATGTTCTCCAAGCGTTCTCGTTCCTCAGTGAAGAACTTACACCACACACACCATTCTGTGCTAGAGAAACACATATCCTCATACCTGGAGTGCAAGAGAGAAATATAGAAATACTTTTAAGTCAGATTTCAAAAGGAATTATTCAAATTTGAAAGATTGTGAAGAGATAATAATGAAGACTGTAAATACGAATAAAGATAGACCTGGAATTCGGCACTCTGAGTCAGATTTTGGACTTTATATGCTTTTTTCTAATATTTGTTTTTATTTTCTGGCCAGTCTTATTTTTTGATCACACGGCCGCCTTGTACCGGCTAGGAGAATCAGGACCGTGCTTTTGATAATAATAATAATAATCCCCATACACTTCTCCTAGTCTGTGCTAAATTTCAGGGGACTAGATTTTTCGAACTAGAAATTTAATCGCAATGTGCTGTTGTACGCTCCAAGCTATCTGTTGTTCACCTGGCATTCTTGTGACTGTCAATCTTAACTGAGCAACCTCTAATGTGTATGGGAGGTCAGGTGGAATGTAGATATTCAACCGAGGACACACATTGCTGGACGTGCATAGTAATTGTTAACAGCAGTGCCGGTCATATTTGAACCCCCTTGTATGATAATATTTCTCCGTCTTTATTTTTTCTGGTTATTATTCTCTGATAATATAATACAAGTGATTTTAAAAGCTTATAATATGAAGTTTTTAAGAAGAAAAGCCAAAGAAAGGAACGATAATAAAATTAGAACGTAGAAGATCAATCACACTTCAGAATGAAGTAGCCATGAGATAAAGACTCATATTATAGTTTTAAAACACAAAAAACTATACATGTGGTGATTATTCACAGAATAAATCTAGATTCAACGAAAAGACACTTTACCTTTCACCGAAAATAAATTGCTGCTACATCGTTGTTAAGACTAAATATACATAACCGTTTCCATACAAAAATGACTAAATTATGCTAAAAAAATTTAAGTGAGGTTTGTTCCTGAGGCATTATAACATACAAAATATAACATTAAAATTATAATGCATTCTTAACTTGCTCCCACCTTTTGATTACACTGGGGAGCAGCAAATTTTTGCGTTATATCTATCACTTGTTTTTTACTAACTTTTGGACTCTGAATCCAAAAATAATCTCAGTCTTTTTCTATCACGTCAACATTTTAAGCTATACGATACCCTCTCCTTGTCTAAAACGTCATGCAAAAATGTTTATAAAAGAAAATAAAGGTAAAATGTATTAAATATGCTGTTCACAAGGAATAGTTTTATTCATAGAAAGGCTGCTATAGTTACTGCAAGTTTGTTCATACAAATAGTAAATTTTTTACCAAAGGGTATAACATACATATGAAAGTAAAAGTTGTCGCGTATGGGATTTTCTGGAGTATTTAATCTATAGACATTTTTGCTTGACTCTCGACCAACAGTCAACCATCATATGTAATTCCCATCTACCTTGGTACCGTGTCTCCATGACTTGCTGGACA